AAAGATGGAAACCTCGCGATGTTGGCCTTAGAAAGAGGAGATTAGTTTGTATTGATCAGAAAGTTTCTCAAATTGCTGCCTTTATCAGGAATTTTTCGAAAAATATTTTAAATCGAACAATTATTTAACTCAAAGTTGTAAGTGGTGAAYAATCGTAAGGCCGTATTGTGCCAAAGAAATAGCAGATTCTGTACTGATCATGAAATTTTCTAAYTGCCATCATCAGGGATTTTARGAAAAAAATTCCAATTTGAGTAATATTTTTCGAAATCAGTTATCTATGCATTTTCGTTTAAACAAACGCCAAAAAATCTATGATTTTACATTTAACCGAACTTCTGATGTTTCGWWTRGAWRGAGCATTTTCTCYTTKTTTAATACTGATTTTYCAAATTGTGGTCTTTACCAGCGATTTTTTGAGAAAAATTGAAATTCGAACAATMTTTGTATAAATGAATCACAAATTTKCACAGGAATTCTGCCGATAATCGGCTTAGAAAAAGGAGATTCCTCAGTGCYRATMATKACTTTTTTTTAAATTACGTCCTTCAGCAAGGATTTTTGAAATTCGAATTCTAAATCACTAAACTTTGAAGTTCAAAATGRAGCTTCTTAGCAAAGCACGTTCTTTCAAACCAATTTTCTTTCTAGAAGACAATTTCCTTCCTTTGGAAACCTTTGTGAACCTTGATTGTGGCGAGATCTCATGTGTTTCTCATTTAATTCTGTAAAACTGAAACTATCCAAAAAAATTATTCCCTTCTACCCGTTCGGAAGATCTGTTGATATTTACTTAAATTCGCGGACTGTTTTTCTCTACAAGAACAGTAGACGCACCTTTCGAAAGTGCAAGATATGTATTTAAAAAAAACTCTTTGTTGTTCCAACACCCAGAACAATAATTTTTCTAACAAAAAGTCCAGTAAGTTGCATTAGACATTTTTCTTAAGCAAATCCCTATTTTCTTCCTTTTTTACCTCTTGTCTTCCAGATGATTCAAAGAATCATTGTGCGTGATCACAATGCAGGCCTTTAAAACGGTCCCCAGATTCTTGCGATCATTCAAGCTACTAGTTTGTCTATCAAAGTAGCTGTTTTGCCTCCAAAGACCGAAGTCTTCCACCTCAAAAGTCGATTCGTCGATGCGTTTCTTGTAGATTTTTCGATAACTAATCTCCCTGTTATTTTGGTGCGTTACCAGATTGAAATCACTATCGACTAAAATCGATAAGTTTCTGAACGTTTTTTCTATGGCAAGTGGAGTCTTGGTGGCCTGATGGAAAGCGATCCATCGGAATGGGGACGCAAACAATTTCCATTGTTGCGCCTAAAAATCTGTTTAAAATATATGGGTAAAACATGGACCACTTTGAGGTTTTACCTGCTTTAAAAACCTCATGGTTTCAGGACAATTTAAATTTACAAGAAAAATGTGTCTACTTTTATGGAAAATTCTTCCATCCGAACTGGACCATTCGGATATCCAATTGCTCTCGAAATTTTTCTCCGACAGCAATTTTGATGTTTCTACCAAATCTAGAATACATTTTTTTTGTATTCGTCGATCTTTGCACGGTCGGTAAGTGTTTATCTTACCTTTTTTGCTACAGCCAAACACAGTCGCTCTGCGATTTCGACCAACAGCTTCAATGAATTCAATAGAAGAAAAATCCACTTGGGATGTAATTGTTAACATTGCCGCCAATAAAACCACTTTCTTCCACATATTGCGCGCGGATGTAATGCTAGTCAAATCTGCTCTAATTTGCATGTGGAAGAATAAGTAGCTGACTTTGCGTGCATAATATTAAAATGCAAACAGAAAATTGGAACTTTTATTTGCTTTGGCAAGCAATTTAACAATTCGATGCTCTAATTCTCCTGAACTAGTGATAGAGAAAAAATTCCAAGTTGTATGCACGATTCTTTCAAGGAAATTTAAAAAAACAAAACGATTGGTGCCATGCGATTTATTTCGATAAAGTTATACATAAACGTTCTGTGTTTTAGATAAAAATATTTTTTCTTCAAGAGAACTAACAATATAAACCGATAAAGTCGGGGGCGGCTCCTGAACTTTGGAATCAATCTAACAATCTAAGCGTTAAGTAAAACTTCAGGAATTTAATAAATAAAGAAAAAGACCTATTAATAATTAAACTATTTACCACGCAACAATTAAAATTTCTGATTGCAAAAGCTTATATCGCTATAGTTTAAACGAGGCTTGGAATGATTTTTATTGTACCATTTACTAAGTTTTAATTAAATACAACTATCTGGATGCTGGCTTTGTCCTTTTCGACCTTTACCCGTTTTTGTTTCGATTTTCATATGATCAATGCTCAAACGTCTCGGATTGCCTAGAGTTACTAAAGCACTAGCTATGGCCAGTCCGGCCGATTGTCCTTTAACCGTATACGGTTGAGAACCTAAAACCACATTAAAATGTTTAATTAACATGGATCAATGCCCGAATCGCCTATTTTTACCAGTTGGCAGCCGAACCAGTAAACTCAAAACAGCAGCTCTACTGCCTTCACAGGGCTCTAAAGCAATGGGACTAGGAGCGTCTTTTTTCCTACGTTCTCTCTTTGAGAGGTCTGACATCTCTACGGGGGCTTGTTTTTCCAATTCAACCATCACCTAAAACGCATTTTTTGGAACAAAATTGATGAAAAAAGACAAGCGTTTTACTTGTGAAAAGGGCCTGGATGCCATTTGCTCCATTTCAACAAACAACCTTTGTCGCCTACGGTACATGTCGTACCTCTGCTTTACTTTCCACAAAACAGCAGCGACTACAAGCAGCAATAAGAAACACCTAAGGAAACGATGATTATTACACACAAATCTATGCTTTTGGGGCAATAACAACGACTTACGTCGAAAAGGTGATAAAGAACTGCTGTAGATTAAGCTTGGGATATTGTGAGAACGAAATCTGAATCAGCAGCGGAGGCTGGAAGTCGTAAACATACACGTAAAATGTGGTAAAAGTTACGTTAGTACTAGAGGAACCAAAAGCGTAATCGGACTTAGCAAATCGATGCCTGGAAAGAAAGCTTGTTTCAGAAACCCATTGGCAAGTTTCGGTGAATACTAAAACCTCACCTAAAGGTTGAGCAGTTTAGTACCGAAAAAACGGGATTTTCTTCTGCCGTACTGTATCGCCGTATGGTAATGTTCATTTTGGCAACTTCAGAGCAAATAACGGAAAAATCCACATCGATGTCCGGCTTTTGAGGCGAATTTCTAAAGTTGATTTGCCTAAAGTGTCTGTCCTCCTTTTTCGATAAGTTAAACGTGAACTGATAGTCGATAGTTAAATCGTCTAGAATAGCACGTAAATCATCCAAACTATAGGGCACAAAAAGCAAAAATACGTACAGTAACATGAGCCATTGTTCCACGAATCGGGCCTGTAATGATTGGCGGCATCACACTTCTCGCATTGATCTCCAATTAGGCCTTTAGTGCGGCAATGGCATTTACCAGTTTCGCGATGGCAATCGTCCGCATGTCCGCGGCATTCGCATTTCTGGCACTTTCCCCCGTTTACTGGACTGCCCCAATATCCAGCCTTACAAGAGTCACAATGGGGCCCCATTGTCAAATTCTGCAATAACCAATCAATCAATAAAAACACCTTTAGAACGGAATTTTCACTAAATTACTAACTTGGCAGGCATCGCATGTACTAGAATTTGCTTTGCAATGCGCGTGACCGTTGCACTGGCATTGAGGGCAAGTAGTAAAATGCCATCTTTCCGCTGAGCAAACATCATGAGATAACGAGTGAATATGCAAAGTTGGACCTAAAAGCCCCGATGTTAGTTAACCAGCGGGAATACTACCCCAAGTCGACAAAAACTTGCCCGCATAGCCACCAGGCATACAAACGCCCAGCCCTGTGTTTGATCCATCATCACACCATCCGCAAGCAGGATCGTCTCGGCATTTCGGGCACGTTTTGTAGAAGCTGAAACCCTTTTCTGTTCAAATGCCCCTTGGGAATCAACCTCACATACCTGCATTGAGAGTGCTTTTCCTCAACTCCAGTTCGCGTGCGACATTTCGAACTAATTGTTGTCCATTCTCTACACTGACCGTAGGGAAACGTGGCCGTATAAGCGTTCTAGAAGAGTTCAGTTTGCAATTAAACACAGAGATATACAGAGAACAACCGATAATTTGTAGGAAAAAATATATCTATAATTTGAACCCACACAACTTCACAAAGCGCGTTTGATGTTGAAGTTGTGCCGATGTGGCTTTATTTTCTTTCTTCACAATAAACTCATTTAACAGCTTTTTGTTGCGAAATTAGATTCCAGACCGCGACTAATGTAAAATAAAACAAACCTTATCAACACATCTGCCCTCGTTCTGACACCAGATACATTCTTCTTGAGTGCAATTGAGACACGACGTAAATTCAGAGCAAACTTTTTGGCATTGAGCAGGCTCATTTGCTTCCATGGTGGCATTTAAATGGGGAAAAGCCACGCATTTGGCATGCTCAAAGCGCCATCTGAAACAGCTTCAGCTTTAAAAACGCTCAACCAAATGAGCAATTTGCTCTAACCTGCAGGATGGCTGATAAGTGCAAGCAGTACATGTGTGCAACTGTTTGCAAATAGGCTTCGTGTCCATCGGGCACAAATCGCTTCGTCCATAGTTAACCATGCTGGTTTCTGTGGTGTTCGACCCCAGATTAGGGCGGCATCTTTTGTGGTGCATGCAAGCCCCGTTGCACCAGACACATTCCGCCGTCGTGTACACACAACTTAAACAATCCTGCAATAATCGCATTAATAACCGTCCCAGCCAAAATCAGCGCAACTTACGTCCATTCGATGGCATTTTTCAGTATTTCCCACAATCGACTGCTGAATGCTGCTTCTATTCTTCTCCGGGCACTTGGATAGAGGACTGTCCTCCTTGAGCACTTCTTTAGGCACCCGCATCACTGAAATACACTTTAAATTCTTAATGTCCCAGATACACTTAATGCCTGGCCGCGCCGCTAAACAACTACTGGAACTGTTAAAGTACTGGCAGTTTCCAGGGGTAAACTGGAACAAAAGCACGGAGGTCAATCATGTAAGCTTTGCCACAAGAATTGAGCGCACCTTTAGCATATCATTGAGCATCTGCCCATCAAAACCCCCGTAAATGTACAGTGAATGTTCGAACTCGACAGCCGAGTGGCCGAATCTGGCCAAATCAGCATTAAGATCCTGGCTGACGGCCATGGTATTCCAACAATCGCAAAGCACATCGTAGGTTATTACTTCAGAACTGTAACATTTGGCTCCAAAGCTGTGAGATGTATCATTGTGGGTATTTCCGCCAAAAACGAGCATCAGTCCTCCGGATAAGAATGTAGCGGAATGTAGGAACCTGATGAGAAACCAACCAATCAAGTATAGAGTGATAATGAGTAAAAAAACATTCCAAGTTCAAGCGATCGTTTTCTAAATAATTTGGACTGAAAATTCCAATATGAAACTCGATTTTGTTGTAAGAAATTACGACTGGAAAACTTCTTTCGCGGATCAACTTGATACTAAAACCAACCAGCGTTCTAAATCAAATGTATTTCAAATTGTAATTTGACATCGCCGTTTTTAACTGAAAATGTCGATTTTAAAATATTGTAGAAATGATGAGCTTTAAGTTGCAGTTTAAAGTCAAGGAATCGAGCTTGAAGTCGCTACTTTCGAATTCGAGCCTAATTTTATAGCTCCTGAAGTTACAGCTTTCCATCTTGAGTTTCAACAAAGATTCCTCACTTGTTCAGCGTTTGATTTAAGGTCAACATTTCAAGCTTTATAGTATTGAATATTTTAAACCCTTATTAGATTTTGCAACTAGTTTAAAAAATAGTACCTGGCTGAAGGAGAATCAGCTAATAGCGTCCAAATGCGATCATTCGGATCATACGAGTACAAGTTCTTGTTCAAATGCTGCGCTGATTCGCTTTCAGAAACGACGCCGCCAAAAACGTATATTTTTGCGGTCAGCGGATCCCAGGCTGCGCTATGCCCGTAGCCCCCTTTAACAGGGTACCCTAAATAAAATAAAACACCCTTTTAAATAAAAACTCCCTCGTTCCGGTTTCTCAACCCACCATCAGTATTCACAATATGCCATTCCCTCGTTCCAAAATAGTACTCCTGAACGGTGTTTAGGTAACCCAAGTGAGGGGAATGACCGAAGATTATTACCATTTTATCGGCTTTCTTATTGGTGTTGTTGTTGACTATTGTGGCAGTGTGGCCGGCCGACTTGAGCGGGCCACACATCAAGAAACTAACATTGCAAGAGTCCGCTTTCACTGTAATATTTTCCCAGATTTTCGCGCTAATATCGAAGGCCCAAAGTTCCGAAGTGGTGCCCCTAAAAACCAATCCCAAACGTTGCGAACGGCGGAATGAAAAGCCGGAAGCTCACCTATTGCCTAACACGCCACCATATAGGAAAATCTTGTCGCCATATAAGACTGTAGAGTGCCCATATCGCATCACTGGGCCTTCGTTTATGTGCGGCGTTTCCCAGACTTTTCCTAAAACCGTCAAAGTTGAACATTTTAAAGCTCGAATTGTGCTCTAGTTAAGTTATCACCATTGAAGTCGTAGATAAACATCAGGGGTATATTCCTATGCCTATAGTAGCCGTTATATCTCTCTCCCGCTATGACATACATTGAATCCTTCCACACCACTGCGGAATGCGATGCCGATCCAGGGGGCAGAAAACTTGGAATGCTTACCGTTTCCCAATAGCCTCGACTTGAAAGCTACATGAAACAATCAAATATGATCTAGACTTCGGTTCAACTACGGGCATTAATCCTCCTCTCACCTGACTGCAATCATTTCCTTTATACTCTCCAAAGCACTGACATCTGGGAATAAAATTAATAAATAAATAGAAAAGGACATTCCGAATAAAACCGCATTCGGGTTTATTTGAACACGTCCTGCCTTACCCTCTTTCAGGTTCACAAGCGCCCCTATTTTCATGAACCCCACAATCATCTGGGCATTTTCTCAAATGGCAGGCCGCTCCATCCCATCCTCCATCACACGTACAGATTCCATCAATGCAGGCCCCATTGCCCGAGCAATTAACTGTAGATATCTGAAAATGCCTGTTAAAAACTGGCCGGTAAAGTTACTTTAGTCACTGACCACTGAAGGGCAAGCATTTAGCCGATACGTAATATTAAAGCCCGACATGTTGTAGGCGTCATCGCTGAAGAAATGCACCAATGCAGATCCAGACGTTGCAGTCACTTCCGGTATCTTCCTGACTCTGAAACAAACTGCAGTTTTGGCGAAGAAAATCAATTAGTATGGCATGTTCGTACTTGTAATCATCGTTGTACATTAACCCGCTGAACACTGCCAATAGGGGAGAGTTGACTGAGTCCCCATCAAAGATATATAAATGATCCCAACCACATTCAGTTGCAAACTCCTCGAAATGCAACGTTATGGTTTTGTAAGGGGCATCGATCAGCCAACTGCATTTCGAAGAGAGAGAATAATTGCCTAATCCATCGTGGATTGTACCAGTATTTGCACCCATTCTAGAAACACAGAATGGGGTAAGAAAACACAGAATGGGTTAAAAGTGTGTAGATTTTTATAGACCGAAACAATGCAAAATCAAAGCAATTAAGAGCGGGTCATAGGAAAAATCTAGAGGATTTCCGACTTTCACTTGAAAAATAAACAACATAAATTTTTACTTCTAACTTTCAGACATGATATTTTAACAAAGACTGGTGTTTTTGCTGCTCATCTTTCTGAAGTGTTCAAACCGTTTGGTTCTGTGTTCTCAATAGAGGAGGAGGAGGAGCTGACTGAGATTAAATCACGCTCAAACTCGCCACTCTCCCTAACGTGCAACGTATAATTACTTAAGTGCAAAAAATCATCGATTTCAATGGTAAAAGCGCACTGTTGAATGTTAATAATAATTCTAAACGCCTGCTTTAGACTGATCTACTTTCCAGAACAACGGAAGATTTCGCAGCTTAATTTGAAACCAAGTCGGGTAAGGACTAAGGAGCCTGGTTTGATCACTTCGTATCGACCGATTAGTGTTCTTCCCATTAAACCGAAGATCCATGAAAAACGGTTTCTGGCAGGGCTTAATTTTTCTGAGCGGCCTGATACCAAAACACTAGTATTTTTTTCAATACATTGATTCACGAAACGAATATGTGCGATTTCTGGCCAAAGAAAAACGTTAGGTGATTTCGAAGCTTGTAACGCTTCATATTTGCACGATTTGAGACGTTTTTAAGGCGGCGAAGCACAAGTGTGATTCATTTTTCGACCAACAGAATAAAGTTGAATAAATGTGCTTTCGCGTCCTCACAAATAATGCGAAATTTCCAACAGTTTTCATATGATTTGGATCAACGTACTCTGTGCGAAACTGATCAAAAGTGAAACGTTTGGCGAAACAAATCAATTGATGGAAAAGGACAAACGCTCAGTACAACATTCACCAACTTATAATTAAGGATGCAAACAACAAAGTTGTCTATCTGGCGAGATCAATTTCTGAGAACGATCCTGGTCTTGATCAGGATTTGTATTCTGCAGTAATGTACTGGTAAGGACCAACTCAGTTGGTCATTTAGATCATAGGCAACAAGATAAGCAGAATATTATTACTGAGTAGCAAATAAGGCCCCTGGACACATACAAAATGAAGCTTATGCACAAGTTTTGCATGCCAAACAAATGTTCTTTACTTGTTGACCTTATTTGTAAAGTGTTACCTGACTTTACCACCACAGAATTGGCACTGGGGCCCTTGCCAACCCTCATAGCACGCACATGTTTCGTTTTTGCACACCCCATTGCCACCACACTGATTGTCTTCGACACACTTTCCAACAACAGTATGCAGCAAAATAGTAATGTACAAGATAGTGTTCACATAGAAGTAGATCTCATTTTTTCGTCGATACTTCGATTTGAACAGAAACAGAAACATCTGCAATGCCTCCAGCATTGTTTATCGTTGACTATTCCTGATTAGTCCCGTTTTATTCATTCTGTGCCCCAAAAGACTGGAATTGTATTCATTTGCATCACTCTCCAACTCGCCTGAGTTGGGGTTCCGATCACATTTCCATTCTGCGAGTTTCTCTTTTTGCGAATTTCCGTGCTTCGAGAAGGCTGCAAGAGGGTGGCTGGTTAATTCAATTTAACTATGGGCTGATTATTCTGTTATCTGTTTATCAAGGGACGACTTTAGCAACTTTCATGATGGATAAAAATATATTTATTTTGACATTAGTTGCAGTATTGCCAGGGTTGCTACTGGTACTGGGTTCTATTTTGGCACTGGTCGTTTTCCTGGGCGTTTATCGGAGTGGTTTCCTGCTGGAGGCAGTAGTTTGGAAGCCAAATAATTAACAAATTTGTGAAGCTTTTAATTAAGATTTGAGGTGATAATGTGGCCAATATTCAAAAGAAGTTATTAAAGCGCTCTGTTTTGTTGGCGGTTGCACTGTTGTTAACCCGAGATGGCAGCAGGATGATAAATGTCTGTACAGATGGCGATATTCGACATTTCACCAAAAATAAAAAAATAAGCGTTTTATCCTGCCTTGTAACAAGGTCAACAACTCTATTTCCCGAAAAAGTGAAAAATTCGGTGTTTTACCAGCGAATCAAGTGAAAAAGTGATATGATTGTGTTGACAGAATGCCCGTACTGGTGAAAATCCAATAGGTGAGTGCAGGATCATGGCCGTTTGGTCGTCGACTGCCTGATATCTTTTTGTTTGATAACGATTTTCTATTGCGGAAGAATGAAAAAAGCAGAGTCTTACAACGGGGGTGATTTCGGCTGTTTCATTGGCAGTCCGAGGGGCCCAACTCTAAGCGCAATGTTTTGAAAAGGGAAAAAAACTACAAAATTTCCTTTTATTTCAGCTGTCAACTTTGATTGTTTACGACTTGTAGACTGAAAGAAGCGCGGAATTCAAATGGAAAATTTGCGCTTTATTTCATCACATTTTCCCCACATCGCCTTTTTATTATCAACTCAATACATGCACGGTTTATCAGTCACAATTGCCAAGAAAATCCATCCAAAACTGTTATCGCTGGACAAACATTAATAACACATATTTTAGGTGAGAGCTGCTGAGTGGATTGTGCCCATCACTTCTCACAACTACTCACCATGTAAATGGCACCTCTCCTCTGCACTATATTCAACTGTTCCTAAGCATGTCAGAGGCCATGGATTGCTACAATCTCATACCCCCACTACCAGACACCGGAGGAACCAGTAGAACCAGCCCAAACCTCAATTCTCCCTGCTCGAATAACATCGTGAAGACCGACCTCAATTCACGTGAACTGGACCTCAAAGACTGTCTACTGAATGGGAACATTGGCAATTTGAGTTCTTATTTACCAAACAACAATGTGTGCGCTGATAATGTGATCACAGACACCGATATTTCTGCCAAGGATGATTCGTTTGAAAGTGAGGAATATGCCAGTGGGGACATTACTCATGATAGTGATGGTCAATTGAAAGATGGTGATGGTGATTCTGTTACTCAATCAGGTAGGGATTTATTCATGTTCCTGCTTCTAGCTGGAAGCAATAAAGAAATGTGCAATGTTTAAATGCAACTGAAAACTCTGGAAGAAGGTTTCCCTCCCCACCTTCATAAGCTAAAGGCTTAAATTTTAATGCATTTTTGCATCTTGTTGATAACGAAAACAAGCACCTGTTGGATCAATTACAATTGAGATAGTTATTGTGGCGATATCCCCTATATTTTTCGCAATTCTTGAACTTTCGTTAGATAAAGCAAGTAATGACCAGTTTTTTAAGTTTATTTGCTTTAGGCACCTAAGGAAAATTAATAAACTTAACAGAATCCCCGTGAAATACTGAATTCATTTCAATGACATGGTGCTGTTAAACCTCTAGCAAACACCAACAGATGAATTAATACGCTTTTTTGTCCGTTCAGAAGACACAAACAGTTTGAATGAAAACAGTAGTGCAACAGAGTCGAGCCAAGAGCCACAAACTTCAGAGCGAATTGAGACTCCGGTGGACAGTGATGAGGAAATTGATAATATCTCGCGAGCTGAGGATAACTATGTCCCAGATGAATACAATAATGGCAGCATAAGTAGAAAAAGCAGAGCAAGGAAGGCAGCTGGTCGACCGGGACGTGGCCGAGCTTCAAAGGCGGTCACCATGTACCATAGCCAGATTAGTGGCGATAAGGGTGCAATCAAAATCCGAATCCGAAAGAGCAACTTGAGTGGCACTCAACCAGTAAGTGAATACTTACTTCAAATTGTACAGTTCAATCATTGGTGGTGATGATTTTTAGTTGGCGCCCAACAAGAGGAAGTCAGGCAGGCGGAAAAAACACAAGACTTACTCAGATACGGACAATTCCGACTATGAGAAAAAGCCGAAACGGAACCGATTTATTACCAGTACAGACAACGACGTGTCCAGTACTCAGAACGACGAGCCTTTGGAGCAGAGCTGCTGGGGGGATCCATCCAAACTACCCTCAGAAATACTTGAAAAAATCTTCGAAGAGGCTTGCTCTTTAGAAGGTGCTTTGCCGGCTTTTATCAGGTATTATCCCGCACCCGCGTCACAAAATGTGTGTGAAACGTTGTGGTTTTTTCTTGCAGATTGGGTAAAGTATGCAGATACTGGAACGACACATCCCAGAAAACGGTATTATGGAGAAAGGCCGATCTGAACTACGTGAAAGAAAAGAACAGAACTGATATCACGTTGCATTGGCTCATCGTGAATCGTCTGCCTCAGTGTGAGGATATAAATATGGGTAAGAAATCGCAACAAATCATCTTCGCTAGCATTGCATTGGAACTATCTGCAGGTGAATGGAAAGTTCGAGATATTCAGAGGGTTTTGGAAGCAATTTGCGAACATTGCACCAAGCTGAGAGGTTTAAATCTGGGGGGTTGGAAAGGACTTAATGCTGATAATCTGAAATACTTAACTACCGAATGCAAAACACTGGAACGATTAGATTTATCATCAATAAATGTAAGTAGTACTAGGAACTGAACACACACACCGTTGGTCCCTTTTTATCTGCTCGTTTATTCAAACATCGCTCATGATTATTTGATTACATTTGAAAATTAAGTACGTAGAAGCATGGTTTTATATTGATACAAACCAGGTGGATACTTTTAAAACTTATCTCCTTATAACGTTATTTCCAGGGGTTTTTCATTTAAATCCTACCAGAAATTATATGAGGATGAAATGGTCTGTCTATTCATGTAGACGGTTAATTCCCACCATTTCGAAGATATGGATATGAATTTTTGAAACCTTTTGTGAACCGCTGAAAGGGCGTTCGTACTCTTCAAATATTCCCAAATTACGCATGAGATTCTTAAAAATCTTAAGAGCTTAAAAAAAGCCCATAAAGCAGTTTGCATTTGTTCAACAGATTAGTACAGTTGCGGCTCTTTTATTAAATTAATTTTTTTCAGTCAACATCGGCCATTAATGCGCAGCCATTGGTTGCTTTGAGTCAGACCATGAATACTCGGCTCACTCATCTCGTTCTAGCCCATAATAAAATCGCGGGCTTCATGCAGATCATATCCGCTATATCAGTAAGTCATAAATCTAAATTTGTAGCATTTAAAAAAACTGTATATGATTGTACTTGCAGTCTCACTGTCCAAATCTTCAATTATTGGATATATCGAATATCAAAACATTCGCACATAATACTGCCTTATTGCACGTGGAAAAGCTTCAAATTGGATGTCCGAAAATTCGTGTGTTGAGGATAACCAATAGTCAAATCTGGCTAGCCCCAGTAGCTCTTACGGAACAGGTATTGTTTTTTCGAGGCTCAATGGTTTTTCCAAAAGTACATTGATGTTGTTTGCAGGTTGCTTCGCCAGGTTTTCCTAAACTGGAAGAATTGTCGTTGGCCGGTCTCGAAGAAGACCAGACCACCACGTCCAGGTGAGTAAATCGCTTCTATTGAAACAACTAGCGAACAATATCCACGAATCCGCATTCTTTTCATGATATTTAATCATTCAGATCAATGGACGATGATGGAATCGAAAGGCTGCTGAAATCAAGTACAAAACTTCGTCTATTAGATGTTCGTGGATGCAGCAAGTTGACGGATTCTGGTCTAGTGCGAGTGCCAGCATGGGACTTGGAGCACCTGTTTTTGAGTGGTAAGATCGCACGATACATTCTGCAAGTTCACTTCTAATTGGAAGGGATATCGTTGTTTCAGCGTGTTATATAACGAGATTACAAAATTCCGGACTTGAGCTGATAGTTCAGAAATGGAGCCACAGCTTACTGGAAGTGGATTTGGCATGGTCTTCAGCGACTTCATCGCTAGACGCGGCTGTGTTGGCTTTAGCTGAGAAAGGGCCCGAGTCAAAACTAAGGTAAATTTCTCCACATGAAGTCAAATAAAAAATAGGAAATAAAAAGTCTGTGATCTTTTTCAGGATACTCAACCTGTGTGGTTCATCAGTGTCTCTAGAACCGGTAAAGGCAGTGTTATCCAAATGTCCCCATTTGAATTCCATCAACTTGCAATCGTGCCGAGCTCTGCCCAGAGGCATTAAGCGATTGTATACAGGAGCAGCTGTGGCCGACCTACGTAAGAGTCTAAGCGAAAAGAAGACTGAAGGCAGCGATTCTGAGGAAACAAAGTCAACCACAACGTCTCCAAAAGGAGACTAACTCTCGGTTTGTTTACATTAGCCTTTGGCGTTAATGCGGAGCTTGGAGGTATGTGAGTATACCAGTATATTGCCCTGTTTGTTTGTTGTTTATAGTTGAAAAATTGGTATTTGTCAACACATCCCATACGTAAATATTGTTGCTGTAACTAATTTGATAGTACTCCATCAGTCAATCTATAATAGTAGATTATCTCACACTTCAACTTTTTCACTGCATTCAAAGCTGGGCGTTTTGAATTAATCTAACTGAATTATCAGTTATCCAATCTTTTCGGACTATTTATTTTTTGGATACTATCGGGCATTGAGGAGCTATTGACTATTTTTGGTCGTTTGCTTCCGAATCTCGTCAATAACGTAAATAAATTAAAAAATGCATAAAACGAACGCCAGCTTTGATCTGTGGCACATACGGAGCTAAATGTTTAAACGGTTTTTGTACTTTGGGTTTAAAAAACCGTGTTTAGTAATTCGCGTTTCTTTTTTCTCTAGCTATAGTAGCGATTAGTGCATAAAACACTCAAACGTAGATTAGAACGTTGGAAGTTTAGTTTCAGATGAATAAATATTTATTTTACATGCAAGAGTCAAAGTCGTCTAACGAAATTACATTGATGCAGATAATTGAATTGATTGTTGGTGCTTCTTCATGTCCGCTTAGTTTCATGTCTAGGAGACCCGATGAACTTTAGCAAAAAAAAAGTATTTAGCAAGTAAAACCAAATACTTTTTTAATCGACACTTTTTAATTGCAGGATGGTTGATTTTTCTTGGGAATTCGGTCTGGCAAAGACAGGAAAAATCAACCATCCTGCAATTATTGGATATCGGTCAAGCTACTGAACTTACTTTTTTTTAAGTTGCTCATCAACTTTTGGGGAAACGCTGGCGATAAATGCCGGAATTAGTATCTGTGAATGCGACACATAAACTATTAATCACTTTAATTTAACTCTTGATGGATGTGATTTGCATGTTCATGCATGGATAGTGAATGTAATTCTCTCATAGAAGAATAGTTGCGTCTGATAATATTATGCATTGTTCAGTATGTTATGGTTTTAAAGTAAGAGACAACATTTTAATTTGGTTTCTAAAGCACGCAAATGTTCAAATCTGGCCCATAGAAGCCCTTTATGTTTCGGCTGAATAACCGAAATTAAACATTTTGTTAACTTGATTAAAAACTTAATTAAAAGTGGACAATATACAACGTTTTTCAATAAACCATGCCGCTGTATCTCATTTTTTAGGCACGTTATATACAGAAAATATTTTGCACTCACATCCGCATTCAGAAATACTAATTGTCTGTGTCTGAGAGTTTTCCCGCAATTAACCAAGAGCGTTTTTGCTTTGGTTTCCAACGCACTGTATTATAACAATAAAACACTGTTCTTAGTGTATTACGATGTTAAATACACTGCATAAAAAATAATTTTAAAGTCAACCCTTTTGAGTCCCGAAATTAAGAACAAAATATATCGTATTTTGTATGATAACTTGTAATTATGATAATATAGATAATAAATAAAATCGAGGAAACTAGACATTTTGCTTGAATGTAAAAATACTTATGAAAAATCCGAGATTGCATTTTTATAGATGATAAAAAGGCATTCTTAGAATAGCAACATGAAGAAAAACTCAGATACTAATGCATTTATCTAAACCTGCAGAGTTCTTGTTCTGGTGTTGTTAAAGGAATAAAAACCGTTTGTTTTTACAATAAAATTATTGTAGTGATTGTACCTGTAAACCACAAACTGGACAAGAACTTTGCTGTATTTCTTAAGCTTTTGTATAAATTGAGCCAAAACTTAAAAAAGCAAATTGTACATAACTAGCTTGTTAATGTTATATTCATTAGAAAATGTTTAGAATATCAATTTGTTTATAGACATTACTATATGGGCAAGATGTTTTTGGGGTATTTTACAAATACCATTTTTTTGTATGTATGTTTTATTTTATTTATTTGCTGTCGTTTATGTATTTCCTAGTCATTGCTCAAGTGATGACAATGATTAAGATTTTTTTGGCACAATTATTTCATTTTGAACCGATTTAAATAATTTTACAAATACACTTAAATAAGGAAAATCAGTTTAAATTTTGAAATCATTCATATTTATCATATTTTTCTAATTAATTTAAGAGCTAATTATTTACCTTTTTTGTTTGACGGGAATATTTGTGACCTTACGGGGTGGGATAAGAGATTCGTTAATTGATTTTATAAATTCATATTTGTGCACTTAAGAAGAATATATCTGTACTAATACTATTGTATATTTATATAAATATATGATTAGGTTAATAATATTACACACTGTTATATTGTCTCACTTGCCCTTATGGGTTGAATGAGATAACTCATTGCAATGTTCGTTTCGCATTCTCCCTTCAATTTCGATCCGAACTCAATCCCAACCTCAAAATATGCCTGTTTTGACTTACGGATTGCCTTTTATCCGTTTCAAATCGTCTTTATCTATGGGTTGGCTTATAAACGGTAGTACGGGCCTGGTATTGCGCCCGTTTTTATAGTTGGTCGTCCTGGTTACCAACCCATAGTCAGGGTTGCCAATGCCGTGCAACGAATCACTGGGCTAGTTCCTTTATTACTTGGTTGTTGAACGGCGTTGCCAGGTGTGCACCCCAGACTCTTATTCAAAAAATATGTCTAGAAGGAGCTCAAGTGATGTTCTGGAACTGTTTAGCCAGAAAACCTGGATGAAAGTGTGTGCCCCCATGGTCCGTTATAGTAAATTACAGTTTCGCAACTTAGTCAAACGATACGATTGCGATTTAGTGTTTACTCCGATGATATTGGCTGATTCTTTTTGTAAAAGTGCCAAAGCCCGCGATAGTGAGTTTACCACCAATCTGTTCGATACCCCCTTGATAACACAGTTTGCCGCCAATACAGTGCATGATTTTGTGGGGGCCAGTTACATGGTGGCCCCTTTTTGTGATGGAGTTGACTTGAACTGTGGATGCCCTCAGCGATGGGCACGCGAGATGAACCTGGGCTGCAGCTTGCTGAAAAGCCCCCAAAAAATCTTCGAACTGGTCAAAGAGTGCAGGAATAGAATCTCCAAGCCGTTTACTATAAGTGTCAAGTTGCGGATCGAAGAGAACATACAAGAAACGATTAAAGTTTGCCAGGGGCTGGAGCATTGCGGAGTCAGTTTTATCACTGTTCACTCAAGGACTCCCTGTAACAATACGGGGCCTATTAATGAAGATGCATTGAAGATACTGAGTCAAACTGTAAAAGTCCCATTAATTGGAAATGGAGGCGTTAATAGCCTAGATGATGCAGTGGGCCTTCAGGAGAGAACAGGCGTTAAAGGGGTGATGGTGGCTAACGCAATTTTAACCAATCCAGCTATTTTCAAAGGGGAAAAAGTCACTACTAGGCAGTGTGTCCAGGATTGGCTGGATATATGCTATAACAGCACCCTAACAATGGAAGAACATGAAAGAACAGTCGCCAAAGATGAAGCAAATCAATGCTACGCCATCAGCGAAAAACCAAGCAGTTTAACATTTCAGTGCTTTCACCACCACTTGGTTTTCATGCTCGAGAAGATACTAAACAAGAAGGAGCGCCAAGTTTTCAACAATTTGAAGCAATTTAGTACTGTTCAGGAGTTCCTAGCGCAACATCTAGGTATTCGCCCGAAGCTCTTCGGCAGAGAACACTTTGTTCAGTCACTACCATTGAACATCCACACTGAATCCCGCGATTTCTTATATAACGAGCTGAAACCACCTGAGGAAAGCGTCTGTACTGAATATGATTTTCTTTACGATTCAAGCAAGTCCAACGGGAAATTCTTTGAGGGAAAACTCACTGATGAAATAAATGAAGATTGTGACTGGACAGACATGTTTTACGAAAACGATTAGCTCCAGTAGAAGAGGAAACTAGGAGGAACAATAGACGGGCTTGATCGCCGAAATTTGGTTGTCTGTTTGATACAGTTGTCTTTGTATTGTGGAGTTAAGCAAGAGATTATCTTGTATGTATCAAGGCAATAAAGCGAACGTTTTTCACGGAAACTTTGTTTTATTTTAAATACTCGTCAATTTGGCAATTGGTCAGTTTTTCGTAAGAAGATACTCGATATAAAGGGACTTCAATCTCACTTTGACTACATTTTATCCTAAAAAATCAAACAGTTTGAATTGAAAGCGTTTTAACGCAACACGATCTAGTCTGAGCTTAGTTTAGCATTTTGGTGCAATGAAAATGTAGGCTGTTAAATTAAATGCTTGATGATGTATAATTGACAGAAACATTGGTTTAGCTAGCCTCAGTCCAGTTGTGTCAATTGTTTGTATTGTTGTCTACAGTTTAATACAATTGTTTCTGGGTTTCTTCTCTGTTGCCGCGTCTTGGGTGAGGAAATTGTTTTATATGCTTAAGAAGACGTTCTTGTGTTAATGGGCAAATCAATTGCGAACGTCCTGATTGGTTAATGCTGATATTTATCACACACTTTTCTTTTTTAGATGGCATGCTTTTTGATTAGATTAGCTGTAGATGGTTGCAGGGGAAAAGCAGAAATTTTGCTTTTTTTAAATTTATTTCTAGTTCTATACTCTTACTTCTATTTATTACTATCTTTTAAATGCTATTTTGTTGTTGCTTGATGTTAGGTTATGGCGTCTCTCACAAGCGGGGAATTCTAATTAACGGAGCTCTTAATCAAAGGCTGTGACCCCAGATAAAAAGGGGCTTTTATTAAGCTGCAGAATAGTCGCCTTGCATCTGTTAGGTTGGTGATAATGATTAATAAATGCGTGTTTTCTATCTACAAAGAGTTAATATATGTGTACATAGCGGCGCATTCGCCATTATATACAGATAACAGATAGAGATAACTCCATAAAATGCACATGCACATGGACGTAATGGCGAATGCGTTTGTACATCACCCGATAATTTATCGATATTTAGATACATACTTATGGACAGCGGTGATTAACCGATTTAAATAATTTTTTAAAGTGCTCTTGAACTCTTGAACGTAAAAACTAAACGTAAACGACCGAAAATTTCGCAGAACTTTCTGCCTATATACATTTTATCCGAAGTCCCTGACTTTTAGAAAACCGCAAGCGAAACAATAAAATTTGCAGACGCATTTCTCGTTTCTTCTGAACAACGCACCATCTGAGCTTGAGTTAACAAAACCATGCACTTTATTTCAGCACCTGAATCCGTAGTAATGCGACTCGCCACAGGCTTATTGAGAGGCATCAAGTGTAATCTGAAAAATGCCCCCATTTTAGAGAGCGCCAACGAACTAACCATTCAATTGAACAGCAACTCTGTAGCGACAATTTCCTATGTAAAAGTGGATGAAAAAGTCTACGATTTAGTGCACACACTGATTCCGGAGCAACTACAAGGGCAGGGCTTGGGACATCTGTTTGCAGAGGTCTGTAGTTAAATGCATGGTTTTTCGACCGGGAATAACGGGAGCTTTTTCGATTTTCAGAGAATATTTGACCATCTAATCAAGCAGGATATCAGACTGAAGTTAAGTTGCGAGTTTTTGCAGCATTTTTACTCGCAAAACATCCCCAAGTACATAGGAAGAGTTATAGAAGAGCAAAGCAGCTAAGCAGCATGGCGGCTTCGGATTCTTTTGCCAGAATTTTCTTCCACTTCCATCACAAGCACTTTAACTTGATGGTTGGTGCCTGTAAGGATGCTATAGGAAAATTCCCGGCTGATCCCTCATTCAAGCTTTATCACTCGTTGGCGCTGATTCTAACCAATCGTCTTGAGGAGGGCGTTAACGATTTGGAAGGTCTGACCCATGAGAACGACATCAAGTTGGCTTGTACCATTGCTTTGATGTACGCCCATAAATTCCTGGGCGTGGCCAGTCGCGAGCTGTTCGTTAAATTGGATATTCAGATGAAGGAGTACCGGAAAAGCGCCGAGGCTCACGATTTCTACAATTCCGCCTTTGTCCTTATCACATTAAACAAATCGGAAAAGGCTTTGGATTATGCAGAAAAGGCCATTTCTCTGAAAAGCGACGGTGAGTTTTCCTCGCTGAAGGGCTGGATTCTTTTGACGCTGAAAACACTGGGCAAACATAACGCCAGCAATATAAAAGCCATATTCTCTAAGGCTTTGCAGGATAATCCTAAGGATTTACTCGCAATTCTGGGGGTTACCGAGTGCTGTTTGTATCTGTCGGAGTTCCGGGAAGCATTGAGTTTAATTAATCAAGCTGTGGTTAAGTTCACCTCCACAAGCTTGCCTTTGCTTGAAAAAATCAAGGTCCATTTCGCCGCCCAGGATTGGGATCAGACCTTGGAGGCAATAAACCGCTTTTCCAGTGCAGACTGCGAATTGCTTTATGGCACAAAATATGAAATTCTCATCAGTTTGTGTCATAGTCAGGACTATAAAGCGACCTGCAGCGGGATCAGAAGATTTTCTGATCTGGCAAGGAAGTTTGAGCCGAATAACACCGCTGTGATTTTGGAAGCTTCCAGACTATTCTCAAAAGTGAGCGCTAAGCGCGAAAGTATCTTGAATGAAACCATCGCTATGTTGGAGGGCGTAATGCAAACTAATATAGACAGCGCTGAGTTGGTGGTGGAACTAGGCAATCAGTACTTGCTGCTGGGGCGAACTAAAGAGGCGGTTCGACTGTTTAAATCAGCCACTAAGATTGACGAAGGATACTTTGACGCGTTTTTGGGCTTGTCCGTATGCGAATTCATGGAAAATGGGCAGAGCCAGCAGTTGTTCAAGCAAATTCAGTATCTACTCGAGTTGAAGGATGCGAGCAACTCCTTGGCTTTGCATCTGCTTCAAGCCAAAGCCGCTGATTCTTCCGTGGAAGCACTGAGCCACTTGAAAGTTATTTTCGATATCAAGACCCATCTGCTTCAGGCTAACTATTACTCAGAGAAGTATTTAATTAACCTGGACCCGGATTTCACTCTGGATGTTATTAGGGAGTACTTGCAGCATGCCACTACCAACAAGCAGGTGTTGGAGCACGCCTTGGAGCTGGCTAATGTGGTAGCTAAGGCCTGCCCCAGCCTATCAGAAGCTGTTTACCTACAGGCCAAACTGCAGCATTTGAAGGGAGACAGTATATCTGCCTTGAGAACGTTGGAAACTATGGCAAACATGTCCGAGGCAGCTTCGAGCGAAGCTGGCCTACTTATGGCCCAAATCCAGGTCAACAACGGCCAATTCGACAGAGCCTCTCAAAGCCTCGAGGCCTGCATGAGCTCCAACTTTAAGATCCGCGAAAACCCGATGTGCCACTACATTACGGCCTTAGTGGACAAGCACAGTGGCAACTATGGCGACGCCATCAAGGCTCTTTCCACTGCCTTGACCTTGATGAACATCACAGTGAAGAACAACGACGTGTCCTTGATTGATAAGGCCTCCATTTATGTGGAGCTGATCGACACGCTCAATATCGTGGGACAGTCGGACGAAGCTCAGAAGATTTTGGAGGAGGCCACGCATGATTTGCAAGGGACTCCTGAGGAAGCGCGCATATTGCTTTTGAGTGCAGACAACTTGGTGGTTAGGGGGAACATTCAAGGCGCCCTGGAGCTGCTTGGAAAGATTGGGAAAGGAGAGAGTTGCTATAAGGAGGCGCGGATGAAGATGGCTGATATGTTTTTGACGAATCGCAGGGATAAACATGCGTTTTTGGAGGTAGGTTTAATTAGGTGTAAATGCAGATTGGTGATTGTTGAGTAAAGTCCGGATTTCTGATTATCCTAGTTAACTTGATGTTTTCTCACTTTTAACGTTTTTTGCGAGAACTGATTAAATCCGTTTAATATCGAATTATCGGTCGCAATAGTCTTGCAAAGCTTTTCCAAATGTCTTAGTCTTGCGGTCTTAGTCTTGTTTTGGTGCTGCTTTTTTTGTCCAAGACCAAGACCAGTTGCGCTCATCACTACTACCGATTCTAGATTACTCCATTACGCAAATACAAAGCTTTAAAGTTTCTACAGTTGCTATTGAAATTTCGCTAAAGTTGGACTCAAGTTTTTCTTGAAATTGTATCAACGCATTTTGAAGGTGTATCAAGATTTTGTCAAAGAGCAACCATCGGCAGAATCATACGTTCTATTAGGGGACGCTTGTATGAAAATCCTGGAACCAGACGATGCATTGCAGAACTACGAGAAAGCCTTAAAAGAAAATCCCAACGATTTGTTTCTAATGCGGAAAATGGGCAAAGCCCTGGTGCAAACTCACTACTTCAACCGAGCCGTGGAATATTACAAAAAATCCATAAAAGAGGTGAAAGATCCGGAATTGACGCTGCAGCTGGCCGATCTCTATCTGAACTTGCGGGAGTATGAAAAGGGAGAGTTGTTGTTGCTGGATGAACTTGACGAAGAGCATAGAAAATCGATGGCTGAAGACATCAACGATCTGCTTTATCAGTATGCCGCTCCTTCAGTTATCTCTAGGGGTTTAACAGTTTTGTCTTTTAGGGCCAAGCTCTATTCGCTTCTAGCAGAAATCCAGGAGAAATCTGGGAATTTTACTTTTGCGGTGAAGAGCCTTAAGGATGCCATGGACTGCCAGATGCGAGTCAGAAAGCGATATGCTCTGGAGCAAAACGGTAACAAACAAGGCTTCGTTTCACCCTCAATCTGAAACCTTTGTTTGCAGTTGCAAGTGAAGAGATTGATAGGCAATTGGTTGATATATCGCTTAAACTGGGAGAAATGGCAATTTCAATGAAAAGCAATGAGCAGGCAGTTAGTTATTATAAGGAGGGACTTACAGTTTCGCCTAATAATACATCAATTCTGGTGGCGTTGGCTAAACTGTACATGCAGGTGAGTGTTAAGAGGCGTTTAGAGATTAAACTGATGAAATCCTGATTAATCCAGATGAATTATTTGGAGCTTTGCCAGCAAACTTGTGCGATTATCTTGAGGATCGACCAAGACAACGAAGCTGCTTCAGTGTTGATGGCTGATATTGCTTTCAGAAAGGTATTTACAGTAAGAGCTTGATGAAGGCCGATATAAATCCATTGAGTTTTTAGGTTGATTTTGATATGGCACTGTTTCACTTCACTCAACTAGTTTCCAAGCAGCCTTGCAATTGGGACGCATTAATCCGACTAATTGAAATCTCTAGAAGATTGGGGACCATCCAAGAATGCGAGCATTATGTCGTCGTTGCTGAGGAAAAATGCGCGAATCCGTTAAAGGAAGCTGGTAAGACCCGAGTTGTGGGATTTTTCGGGCTTTGAATTATCAATAGGCTTTGTTCCAGGACTCCTCTATTCCAAAGCGTACTTCCAGTGGCACTCTGGGAACCTCAATGCTGCATTGAAGAACTTCAATCAAGTGCGTCAAGATCCAGAGTACGGAAGCAACGCTCTTTACAACATGATCGAAATTTGCTTGAATCCAGACGGCGAAATGCTGGCTGAACAGTTCATGGATAGCGACGATATTGAGTATCGGGATTCAAGGTTTCTGGCCCTAAAAACGGGTAAAGGCTCACCGAGATGATTTTACTCGTTTAATATATTTCTGTTCTAGCTGATAGACTAATCAAGGACCTGAGGCAGCGCCTGGAATTCAAAGGAGAAGACCTGTTAAGGTGCAGGCTTTTAGCCAACTTTCGCCTGTTGGCCACAAAGGAAAAATACAACATTGAGCGCGCTTTGGAGGATTTTGTGGCGGTGGCATCGCAAAACGACCACAAGGAGAACTTGGGAGCAATTTTGGGAATGTCCACCGCCTACACTTTGCTAAAACAGCAGCAGCGAGCTAAAAACCAACTGAAACGGGTGGTTAAGAACGCGTGGAACTTTGAGGACGCGCATTATCTGGAAAAGTGCTGGCTGCTGCTAGCCGACCAGTATATCCAGTCGAATAAGCTGGATTCGGCCAATGAGCTGATAGCGAAAGTGGTGCAGCACAACAAGGCTTGCATTAAAGCGCTGGAGTATTTGGGCTACATTTGCGAGAAGGAGCACAAGTATAAAGAGGCGGCCAGAAATTACCAGCAGGCCTGGAAAGTTGGGATGAAATCCAATGCGAGCACTGGGTTCAAGTCGGCCTACTGTTTGATGAAGTGCAAGAAGTATCCGGACGCTATAGATACAGCCAACGAAGTCCTGCAGCTGAATCCTGATTACGCCAATGTGAAAAAGGACATTTTGGACAAGTGCATGAACAATTTAAGAGTGTAATGGTCATTTTATGTTATGCAATTTACCAAGTGTGATTTAATGCGCTGTTTGCAGCACCTACCAATTGCTTAATTGATGATAACTGCAGCCGTTTTATTGTTGTTATTCGCACGGTATCGCCGGGACTTAATTAAACCCACAAATCAACAGAATAACTGTTTTAATTCATAATTGGACAAGTTTGCCTGGTTAGATGATGAAAATTGGGCGATTTATAGGGCCTTTACCCGAAGAAAAAAATAATAAATTCCATAATAAAACGAAATTCGGCTTAATTAGCGGGGAATTTTTTGATTGTTTTGATTACCTACCGCTTCGCTTCGTTAGTCTATTTCCAAATAAATTCAATGAAACACATTGTGGACACGAAAATCATCATGGTTAGTGCATACATGTACTTTGGCCTTCGCTTTATACCTTATCTAATACGCTTTTCTCGTATGTCTTTAATGAGCGGAACCTATCGCTAATTAATACAAAAAATGTGTGTTTTATCTGACTAGTCGAGAAGGCCTATTCAAATATCTGGCCTCAAGTCGAAACAGCAGATAGTGAGTTGTTTTTGTTTGTTAGCTTGAGTAGAAATTTTGCGTTATTTGGCATCGAAACAATTTGAATTTGCCGCCTGTTTGGCAATGGACCGGCGCCAATTTCAAATTTGTCGATTTTTTGAGGCCTCTTGCTCCGAAGTACTCAAACAGAAGGATTGAAATATATGATAAAGGACAATTTTCCAATTAAAACAGCCGGATGAGACAAAAATTGTTCTGCATAGTTTTAGTATTGATCTTTTCCATAAACTTTCTATCAAAAAATCACGTATAGCTACACCAAAGAATCGAAATTCTACGACTAAAACTTCATATAAGCATGGGAGCAAAACCGCGTACCGGTTCCGATCTACTTGGTGCAAACCTTTTTTTTCGGGTCTTTCTTTATTGCTTCTGTAATTTTGAATAGATTTATTTACTTAAATTTATAATTAAACTTATAATTTTGATATAAATTTGGCTCTTACGTTTACAGCATTCGGCACGCGAAATAATCGCGAGAATTATAAGATTGTTCATTTTTTTACCATTTAGTTAGACCCACTTTTCTGCCTAAATTTTCTAGGTGCTGCAGTCATTTTTGTGCAGAAAGTACCACAGTGAGGAAGGACTTCAGTGGTTAAACAGGCTGGGATCGAGTGACGGTTTCTCAATAAGTTCACACATGCACGTGCACTTTCAAAATTTCGTTCTTCAGTCTCTCCTTGAAAAACATATTTACATTCTAGAATTCTTCATTCCAAAAACCGAAAAATTCGTTCGTTCGAGTCGTTCAGCAAACGCCTGACTGTGATTGAATGATATTTTTTTTGCCTATTCACGGTTTAAATTTGTACAGTTTTTTCGCAATTTTCACTCGATTTTCCTCTTGGATAATCTTTTCTCCTAATCATATAATTTCTACGAAAGTATTTGAATTTGAATGCTTGAAATAGTTGACTGTGAAAAGTGTTTAAAATTCAAGAAAGTGTTCTCCTAATCACATAATTAGGATGTTTTTTATCTTAATAAACCTAAACAATTGCTCTTTTTCCTTTGTACATAACATCTAGAAACACCCTGTTTAATCCTTCGAAAAAAGTTGAAACTTCGATTTTCTGCCTTAAAATATCGCGGGTGATTTTCGTTAATTTTCCCAGTAGAATGCAGTGGCGTAGCAAGGCATTTGAGCTATTTGATATTGAATTCGCATGAGTCTCAACAAACTGGTTCACAATAGCGCAGGTAGCTCTTTAATACTGAATATTTCAAGGGTAATTTTGTAATTAAATTCATTAAATCTTTTCAATCAGGATTACGCAACTGTAATAATGAAGAGTTTTCGTGGACGCTTCGTTGTTTGGCGAATTGTGGTTTTTTATGGTGGATTGGGGTTCATTTCACTTGGATGTATGTAGTTCGTTGGGATACGAAAGCTTTGAGAGTAACCAGGGCGAATTGCTTAAGTGAAAAAACTAATAATAAAATGCGTTTGTTGGGAAAACATGGGCCAAATTCCGCATCTGATTGACTAGCGGGCAGTCTTGAGACTGATTTTTTCCTGCCTTATTTCGAGCATTTTTCCAAAAATCTCCAGTCCCGGAACGTTTTATTTGTTCAAAATTTGTGCAGTTTGAATTGACACCCACTAATCGCACATAATTTATGAGTAGCATCTTTACAACTGTACAAATTGAAAGTGAACAGTTTTCTCCACATGCAGCAACGAAACCCACCAATCTTGGCTTGCTGAAAATCTCGGAAATTCCAATAAATTGTTAATATTTTACAGCGCAAAAACTGCTCGTCGTTAATAACACCATTGGTCGATTATCACGTGCGAGCATACCATGACCAAAATTAGTATACCCACCAAGTGGATTCATCTTTACTGTGACCTATCGACTGAATGTAGATAAATGGTAATTAGGAGACAAAGTCGATTTTACCAAAAAAATTTCGAACCAATTCGGAACTCGATCAGTTTTTCGGTTAGTGTGAAGTGTTAGTGAGTAATATTTGTTCAAATGGTGTGCCTGATCAAATACTGCCTGGTTTTGTGAGTTGTTTCAATATCCGAGGTAAGAAGAACCATGAATTGGTAATTTGAAAAAGTGAAACTTTCTATACTACGGGCCAAAAACCCAAGTCAATAATTGGTTGGATATCGAATTTACAATAATTTGCTGAGCAGAAACGGGCCGAGATGTTTGAACAGTTTGAACGATTGAACGGCGCTCCCAAGCAATTAACAGGATCTACATTGGAAAACGACCAATTTTTAAACGCTGCAGAGCTTTTTTCAATGGTTTCAATTAAATTCATCAGGCTCTACTTTCAGTTATAGACTTGGCGATTATTAACTCACTTGTGGTAATTTGTTTGGAGGATCAGGAAGAAAAACGACATTTTAATGCCGTTTTATTTGCAAACCAATCGCTAAGTGGTTATTCAATGTTAAATCAATTATATTAAATTTGGTATTCAGCTGGAATCAAGCAGGAAGTCGTTTTGAATTTGTTTTCAAAAGTAACTACAGAATTTTAGAAAAGACACCTAAACTAAACCTTTTTTTGCGGTTTTACAATGTTTGGTATCATGTGCAAAACAATCGGCGATTTTTTTATTTTAACTTCAATTAATCAAAAAAATACTTATTCATTTTACTTTTATTAGCAAATTTCACCAAATTTATGCGATTTTTATTAAAGAAATTCTTTCAATCAAAATCAGCAGCTGCAAATTTCAATTTTTTAGAATTAGAGGAACACTTAATTAATTAGAACGATTTCAGGCGTTTTCCAAAATTGGGAAGCTTTGAACAGTTGTGATGAATTTTTTGAGCCTTAAAAAAAGGCAAGGGGAAAAAAGTTCAATTTGAAATCAATTAAGGAGGAAATAGTTTTCAATTGATCTTAAAGAAAAGTAGGAATAAATAGACCGATTTCCGATCTTAAACATTATATTTCTTCTATTCTCCTGCGAAGTGCTGGATTCTAAAATATAAAAACAATTTTTAGCCTCTTGTAGGTTTTTTGTTTCTGCGACAGTAAACAAGAAATAAACGATTAACTAAACTTGCTTTCATTAGCAAATTACCGAAAAATGTATGAAGATTATAATTTTTGAAGAATTTTTTTCAATCCAAATCAGTTGCAAACTTCGGTTTGGTAGAATTAGAACAATTTATTATTATTAACTCTCTTAAAAATCATTTAGGTGAGTTTTAAGACCGATTTAGTAGTTGAAGTTGAAACATTTCGAACAGTTGTGAAGATTTTTAACGGAAGAAAAGGTAAAAAAACGCTGTTTTCGTGTCGCTTGCTTTTCAATTAAATTGAATTAAATATAATTCATTCTTCAGCTGGCATTAAGGAGAAAATTGATTTGAGTTGAACTTAAAGAAAACTACCAGAACACAAAGATGATTTTAAAACCGAGAACCAATTCTGGATACTCAATTTTTGCTGTTAATCTCCGATCTTTAACATTATGGCTCGAAATGAAAGGCGGTCTTTTAGCTTACGTTGCAACAAAAACTTGGGAAAATTTGTGAAGTTCTATCGTTAAATTTCTTGCGGTTTTTACGAAATTAATTTTTCAACTTTCATTAATTTATAGCCGTAGAATGTAAACGGAATGTCAGATAATCTAAAGGTTTTTGTGATCTGTGACCGTAAATATGCAAAAAAACTGGCAAATTGGAAAATTTCAGAAAATTATATTTTTTGAGTTTGAAACAATTTGAAACAAAACTCAATTCTGCGATTATAAGCGAAAATTTTCCGGATATAATTTTATATGAAAATAGCGTTTTTCAGTGTACAATCGCCAATATTTGATTAAAGAGTGGTTTAAAATTTGTTTTTATGGCAACTTTGTTAAGTTCTGAAGATAGTGAAACTGACGAGGGTTATTTAGGGTTTTTCGGTTTTAAGCAATTGTCGCAAAAGCCTAACTTTTTTAATATCCGAGATCATTTAAAATACAAAATAAATGTGCGTTAAAAGCGTGCGTAAAAACTTTAAAATTTTCTTAATTGGATTAATTTAGTAAGTTGATTGAATTTTAGTCAAAAGGTATAAAAATCCAAAAATCTAACTTGCTGTTTAAAACATGAAAGATAAAGGCAATTTTGCAGTAAAAATTGCTCTCTTTTTTGTGTAACTAACATTGCAAAATAATGTACAACCACTTCAATCAAAAATCAATACCAGTATTGATCGATAGTTTTTCCAATGTTATGCAAGAAGTAATGAAAATTTTAAAAGAGCCGACTTTCAAAGAAAACTTGATCTCCAAAGTGCGATTATAAACTCTGACTATCATTTCCAGCAAGTTCACTTAGTAACTTTCACAGATTCTGTACATATTTGTTTCAGCAATCAGCCATTTTTTTACGCGCAAAAAAACCTGTTAAAGTGACTTCTTAGCCGCTTCCTGTTTACTGGATGCGCTCGATTACGGCTAATTACGTCTTATTTAAATAGTATTTTATGCATTATCGGACTGGGCCGACAGTTGCTGTACAAATAAAAAATGTTTCAGAAATTAGCCATGGCGAAAAATTCAACCGGGCCATTTTCCAGCAGGAACGAATTCATCTCGGACGAGACGATCAATGATGGACTCCGATATAGCCGAAACGGTGGCTGCTTTGTTACCACGAAAAAAGCCATCGCCTTCGTAGTGGTTGCTTTGGCCTCTTTATGCGTCGTCATTATTCTTATGTACTATTATGGACCCAGCACTAAAATGCAATTGGTAAGGATCTGGACCATTTTTTGTGCACATTTTTTCGTTGGCTCACCCTATATATAGTATGTAAATCAAATTAGAATTACATCAATTTTTCCAAATAAATTTACCAACCAAACGCTTGTTTTGAAAAAACCGGATGAAAAGCCTGATGAAGGTTTCCTCAGTAGACGAAACTACCAAGAAGAAAATGTTAAATCTGAGGTTTGCTGTAGCTGATTAACAATTATCTATTAAGAAAGCCGCTGTTTTAAAATTACATTGAGAAAACAAATTGATTTGTTACACATTACACATTGTATACTACACTCTCTTTAAAATATGTATTTATTTATTCAACTGCAGCTAATAGATTCAAATTACTATGACACTAACATGTGGTTTTTACCTTGACGAATTTAATTAGTAGAAGGTTTGTTTCGAGCCGATTCCAGGTCAGAGAAACACACTAATTATGCGCAAAAAACCTGCACCATCTAACTAAGTCAAACGGCTGTAAATCGGGTCATGCTGCCGGCCTCTCTAATAAACCAGATCATCTGATTTTTTGCAGTTTCAAAGGGAGGTTACTGATATCGAGCAACTCCTGAACGAAACAATCAACGAGGAGGTTTCCAATAAAGATGTGCGTCTTCCTCGGTATCTGCATCCCATCCACTATCGGCTCAAGCTGCACCCTTTGCTGGATGAAATTGGGCCCAATAATTTCACGTTCACCGGCGAGGTGAAGATTATGGTGGGTCTTTCAGGGCAAGCATAGATCAGGACGATGATTTGATGAAATTTCTAGTTCAATTGCACCGCAACCACCAATAAGATCATCCTCAACTGGGATGAGGAATTGTCCATCGACGAGTCGCAGATCAAAGTGGTGTCTTTTAAGCGAGAACAAGTGGCTCAGGAGAGTCACAATGTGTCCAGAAGAGACGTGACGGAATCAGAAGAAGGAAGCAGCGATACTGATGTAACCACTGAAGAAGTTACTACTGAAGCTGTAACTGAGGCTGTTTCAGAAAAGGTGAGAATTTATTGGCCTTTGGGGCGATTTTCATATACAGTTTATTCTTAACAGAAATACAGTGGGAGTCTGGAAAAATCTAGTTTTGTGAGATAATTTTTGGTTGAATCTTAATATAAATAAGACAATTATCAGTTTTTGTGCAAGAAAAACATAAAGGAGCATCAAATGCAACCAGTACAGGATCTTCAACTGGCTTCTGGAATTTATGGAAAATTAGTTGGACAGATGAAGCCAGTTTTGCTCGGCGAAGAGTTTTTAATCCCAATCACTGTTGCATTTGAGTTAAGAGAGAGATTGAGAAGTTTTTTAAACTTGCCGTATTATACGAACATTTTTTGATTCATTGGATGAAATTGGCTGCCCTCCATAAGGCAATCTAGATCATCCGATCTGGAGCCTTTAGATTTTTCTGTATGGGAGCATCTGAAAAACCCCTTGATAAAGCATCTGTAAAATCACATGAACATTTAATTGGGCAAATTGAAAAAAACAGGCCGTTTTTTCAATCACTTGATATGAAATTAATATCAAGTAATAATCATTTGCAAAAAACTAAAAAATCTGTTAAAGTTGGTGTTTGCAATTTTGGGAATTTAATTTAATATTATTTGTTTTTTCTTAATTTCCAGTTTAAAAGGCATTTTATTGTAGATAAGTTCTGTATTGTTGAGGCGGATTCATTTTTTTACAAACTTCTTTTTTGGTATTTCGCCTCAAAAATTTTTGAATGAAATTAAAAAAACTGAAAAAGACAGAATTTCCTCACGTCTTTTATTACTGATTGATAAATAGTGCTTCTATTTCGCAATAAGAACAAATGATTTATCAAAAAGTAATCAAGAACTATCACCTAGAGGGTATCCTGCGACACACTTAGGCTCAAGCTGTAAGAGAAAATTCCAATT